CAAAGAAATCTCAAACGAGTATACTATTTGACTTTGCGAGTGAATAAAATGTTCGGTTACATCGGAACTTAGCCCTTCCTTACTTGTTGTGTATTAATTTTTACTTAATTTTTTTTAATTGTACATTAAATTTCTTAATTTTTAGTTACTCTTATATTATTTTTGTATTTATATTTTTTACTTAAATTTAAGTTATTTTTTAATTTGTAAAATTAACATTTTTGTTTAATTTAAATTAAATTTTTAATTAATTAATTACTTAATTTTTTTTATACATTTTTGTGGTGCGCAAAATTGTTCTTAGATTTTCATGTTTGAACTTCATTTATAACTTTAATGAACGTAATTTATTTCAAAAATTGTGATTATTTGCCGCAAAACGAAGCAAAAAATATTTAATAATTATAATCACATTAATTTAAAAGCATTATAGTCTATCTATACAATCGTGAGCAAATTATCTTCAATGATAACAAGGTAATTAACATTAATTATGTGCTAAGTTTCTATTTTTTGCTTTGGTTTTAGAAAAAGTTGTCAATATATTGTTGTTTATGATTTTTTTTTATTCTTATCTCTTCTTTCTAGTTTTTTAACAACTACTGGCAGTAGCAAAGAAAATTTAAGAGTTAATGATTAAGCGCATACATTATGTATAGTGTCACAGATCAAATATACCATCTTATGCTTTGTTGACGTCACATTAGCGACTTTTGACATAAATTGTCATTTTTTGAGTGAAGTTTTCTCTTGAACTATCGAAACTGATGTCACATTTAGTTAGGGAAACTCAGCCAATAAATCAAAGGTGAAAATGGCCGTATATTATCTGATCAAATTTGACCCGGACTGACAGAAAAAAAACATTTTTGCAGATTTTAAAACAAAACTTTATTATCGCCTTCAAAATCGGCTCCTCTTTAGCAATACTTAATTCAATTCAACATATATTTGTTATACGCCTTGTCTGAGTAATAACGTGTTTGATGAATGTAGGGTCCTCAGCTATGTTGTCAAACAACTCTTTTCTGACCTCTCCTCGACGTTGTTTTTTAAGGTGTTGAGTCGATCCATAAGAAATGTTGAGATTCTCCGCTATCTCTCTGACGCCAACAGGACGGCTTTAAAGTACTGTTTTTTATATCTTTTTTGATGATACCGCCATTAACAGCAATGGAGGGATGACTTGCATGAGTCATGTTAACGATAATTTCACGGCCTTGACTGAATGCTTTGTGCCACTCAATTACTTGCGTTTGTCTCAAAGTAGCAAAGCAAACTCGCTCAATTTTTGTGAAAAATCGCCAAAAACTCGTAAACAATCAACTGTCAAACACATTGACATATAGAGATCAAACTTGACAAGAGCATAAAAACCTTTCTTTGAATTTTTTTAATCGATTTATTTGCACGCGCAGTTTAAATGGTCCAGTCCGAGTCAAATTTGATCAGATGATAACTGATAAATTATTAAATATTGTTTAATATAGTAGTGTATAATTTAATTAGGCTCACTGAACTTTTTCCTGCACAAAACGACTTTTGATAACTGTTTTTCACAACAGAGAGTTCTGGGTGTAACACGATTTGTGAGAATTTTTTATCGTTATAGTTTTTTATCGTTAGATCGTGCACGCAGCTTTTGGCCTTTTATTTCTAAATTTTCTTCTATGCAATTTTGATAATGAAACTTTTAATTATGCTCTTGATGTTTCTCATTTTGCATATATTACTTTAATATTTTAATATTATTTTTGGTACCCACGCCATGCGTGCAAAAGCTTTGAGCATAATAACTCGCTCCAATTACAAAAATAAGCATTTAATTTATGCGCAAAGAAAATGTGAAAATCCGAGAGACAAGCGTATGTCAGGCATTTTTGCTCGGTGTTTTCAACGTTCGAAAACATATACAAGTAGTATGTATACATACATATATGCATTTAAGTATGTATTATGTGATTCTGATTTGTTGATGAAAGTTTTCGATCTAAATATACATACGTACATATTTGTGATGCTTTTGTGCTAAAAATACGCTAATACACATATTGGCATAGTTGTTTACATATGCATACGTATATTTATACCCTGAACAGGGTATATTAAGTTAGCTACAAAGTAAAACCAAGACGGCATATTCAGAGACCGTATAAAATATATTTTTTTTTAAATTGTTAGCCTGACGATATACGTAAACTAGTCACTCAGTTTTTGAGATATCGATCTGAAATTTTGCACCCCACCTTTTCTTCCCAAAAAACTGCTTTTTGGCATAAAATTTGGCACGGGTTATTGTCTTAAGCAATAAGGCAAGTCTCCGAAGATATTGTTCAGATCGGATAACTATAGCATATAGCTGCCTTACCAACTGAACGATCACAATCAAGTTCTTGTAAGGAAACTTTTGCATTTGTGAACGGTATTATAGCTTCCGTGCAGCCGCAGTTGACGTTTTTTTCTTGTTTTTATTTATTTCTAGCACGTGTCGTGTACTGTCAAAAGGTGTCTTTGTGTATATGTAAGTATATGTGTACTCGTATGGTATATATATGCCAGTTCACACACGGACTCTTTTGAAACCCAAACGGATCTATTGTCGGCGAGGGGACGACGAGGAAAGACGAAGGGAAGGGGTTCTTATTTTTTGCATTTTGAAATTCTTATCATGGTTGCAATAGCGCTCAGTTTCCAATTAATACGATATGTTAGAAAATGTGAATTTCACATTCTATTTTTTTCTATGTAATATGAAAATATGCATTAATAAAATAACAGAATGTGAATAAGGAGAAAAGTAAGATACTCAAATATACTTAACTTAAATTTTTAATAATATTTATTAAATGTAATGCTATATACATAAGTGAATTCTAATAACAATGGAGTTACTTTTCCTTTTTATATTTACATAAAATAATAAGATGCTTTCATATTAATTTTTTTTTACCTCAAAGGATTTAGTTTTTAATTCATGAATGTTTTGTAATAAATAGAAATATATATGGCGTAAAAAAGTATGGGTTTTTAATACTTTCGGAAAGATTAGAAAATTCCTATCATAAATTTGGGCTTGAAAATATTAGTGGCGGCTATTCAATACATTCTATTGGATTATGCATACTATTCTACCACATTCATGGTAATTCCTCGTAAGCAAAATGTGAGACCACCAACCCAATATACAAATGCAATATGCACACACTCTAAGTGTCGCGTAGCCGAACCGCACAAATATTTGCAAAAATTGTATGAAAAAGAATGACAGAAAAACTTGATTCGAGTTGCTGGAATCTGTTTGCTCGCGTGAATGAACAATTTGCTGATAATGAGCGACAAAAGAGTCCCCATGTAAACGCAGTATATGATATTATACAACTATTCATATTATGTACATATGTAAATATCGTTTTAAAGTCTACAATATTTCATTACATATTAATTTAAGTTTCAAATTATTTTATATATTTGTATATATTTTGTATCTATGCTCATATATGCTATATACATATTATAAATACATACATATACTCATATACATACTTGTATATAAAAATAAAAGTTAAAAAAATTGTATATGTATATTTTTATATGTTTGTAACAATATTTGCAGCGAATGAAGCAAACAACCTAAAAATAATTTCTGTGTACACAGTTTTTGAGATATCGCCACGCAGTAGCAGTCAATAAACCCCTGATTTTTTTTTCATAAAAATGTCAACCTAGTACACACCTATAAATTACTACATACATATGTACACAAATAAGTCAGATGGTCGCTTGGGTTTTTATAAATTCGCACTCAGTTTACGAGATACACACAGTCAAGCGAAAAAATCGAGTTATACAAAATTCAAGTTTCTTGTTGTTGTAACAACATTGTGAATATCTATTTATAAATTGTAAATTATCGCTTTTGCAGACATTTTGTTGCTTTGTTGTGTTTAGGGCTCTATCTATTATTTCATAGTTCTCGAGATACACGCGCTAATTTCGATAAGTGCGCGCTTTTGAGTGTCATATTTTATAATGAACTAAAAATTTAGCAAATATACATATGTACATTTGTAATTATATATAAACATCATATGTATGTGTGTTGTCATGCATGCTTGCAGGTTTGCGGGTATGTACGCGCACTTTTGATAAGAACTGTAGTTAGCGCCAATTAAATGAAGTGAATGTTTCATATGCACACAGACACTAATGTATATACTAATACATACATATATGTTTGTGAGATTATGGCTAAGCAAATATGAATAATTGCTGTACAAAAAATCTCACTACTCAAGCGCATATTTATTTAATTTGAAGTTGAAATGCCTGAAGTGCACAATAGCAAAACAGAAATTTTTATTACTATTAACCAGTTTAAAAATTAAGAAATTTCCAAAAAAAAATGCTTAGTATTAATTTCGACACAGATTTTCACCATTATTTTTTATGGTTTATTATCAGTCACTTAGAGTATAATAAAAATATAAAAAAAATTAAATATAATTGGCAACATTTGATTTTTGAAAAGATGTTTACCGATTCAGATCCACAAAAACTTAATGAATACAAATTCCATAAAATTTATTTATTTTTTAGAATTAAAATTTGTTTATATCTTTTATTTATTTATTTTAAAGGCGATATTTTAAAAACTTTTATTTAACAAATTTTTGAATTTTAAATTAATTTGGTTATATAGTATGTACAATATATGTATATACATAAATATAAAAATTTAGTCACATATAAAATTATATAAACTAAATACTATATATTCGCTATAGCAATAAAAATAAATTAAAAAAAAAAATTAAAATTAAAATTTAAAAAATATTGCGTTTTTTGAAATTTTAAGAAATTTAATTTAATTTCAATTCAAAATTTGTTTGTTATTGAAATTTTAATTCTCTATAAAAATTACAATAAAAATTATACATACTTATTTTATTATTTATGATTTTTTTTTCACATTTAAAAAATCTTCAACCGCTGAAACTCACCTTTCTGATAAATATTCTTTTAGATTTTAAATTGCATTGTGTTTGATGTACATACATATATTTAGAATATAAGTTGAACTATATGTATTTTTGGTATATATAATATAAAATAAATTATCTCACAAAGCCACAAAACGCGACGAAATGCAAACAAAACCGCAAATGATATATTTCTAATGTTTATAAACAATTAAACCATACGCATGGTGCACATCAGTGATTTTCGATTTGTTTATTTTTTATGTTTTCTATTTCACACACTTTTTTGTATTTTCGTACACGCTTTGTAAAAAAAAAGCTTCGTTAGGCAATTTTTTTTTTTAAACTATTTTATACTCGTTATTTATTATTATTTAAATACGTTTTTTTAGTATTGTTATCAATTACTATATTGTTTGGTCGCGTTTCATTCAAAAAACAATTGTTTGTGCGAGAATTACTTTCGAACATTTCCTGTCAGCGCTTTGCAACATTCGTCAATTTCCCGCACACGAAAAAAAAATTTATAAAAAAGACACTTTTATTTTAATTGTTAATTTCCCGCTTTTTCTGCACGGTCAAGCGTATCTACATATATACATACATTTGAACTGATATTTTGTGAATCGTTTAATACAATTTCTTTCTTTCTTTGAGATATTTTTCGTTCGTTGAAATTTTCCGAAATACCTGTACGCTGTGGCCGCGCGCTCAGACACAACTGTCAACGAGCCATTGCGTTCAACAGCTCGAAAACTAAACAAACAAATACACACGCATACACTCACCCACGTGCGGCTGGAGACCCGGCAGACGAGCGATCGTTCAGATGAGCCATTTTTTCCGCACCGTAGCGGGACTTTAATCTCGCGAATATTGCAGTCTGCAGCGACCAGCGAAAAAATGGAAAGTGTAATGAGTGTGTGTGTGTTAATGTGTGCGTGAGGAAGAGCGCGATTCAGCGAGAGGTAGTTATTGTAACAGTAAATTAGTAAAATGTCGAATGGCTTCGATACCAACAGGTATTACCGAGCAAAACTACTAAAAGCGCCTCACGCATGCACTGCTCAACTAAAATATACATGCATATATATGCATGTGTATGTATTTTAGTGTGTGTGTGTGTGTAAGCAAACATTTCGACACTCTTGCTCTCAAACGGCCTCCAGCCTATTTAGTTAGCGCATATGTAGTCTAGTCTTATCAAACGAGACAACTTTCTGACTATTTGGTGGCTAGTGATAAATACTTAGACCTGCAGACACATACTTGGCATACATACATATAATACATAGAAACAACAGCAACAACTCGCTTGTATAATATGCAAGATAACACGGGCGATAACTTGTAAACAATGGAGCAGCAAGCTTCAAAAACAACAACAACAACATATGGTCGTCGACAAAATAGAAATAGAAAAGGAAAAATATTTGTATCTTAGAGATAAAAAGTGATTAGTGAGCGATGTGAAAAAAAGCGGTCAGCAACGGCGCCACCAGTGCGAAAATTTTACTCATAAACATGCATACCTATGTATATACATATTTATATGCATAAGTGCGTAAGCGCTTACTACACGCGTTTTTGCTGAGTCGCATCTTCGAAGGGTGCACTACGTAGGGTCTAATGGCACTCTCTCATCACTTGGAGAGAGAACAATTTTGTTTGTTATTTTTATTATGTGAGCGAGTCGTCAGGTAGAGTGGCTTGACCAGTGACTATCCATCCATATGTTCGAAAGGGTTTCCGCCAAAGTAGAACAAGCCTTTTCCCTATACAGTTTTCAATTTCTAGATGAATTTTAATTCTAAACACTGCAGAAAGTTGTGAATCACTCGCAACTATGCACAAAACTTACTGCTAGCTTTTATTCAGATCAAGTTCCAAAGCATTCGGTATGTTTTTCGAATAAAAAAAAATGTCTGGTGGTGAGGAAGATTTTTCTTTTAAATATTATCGCAAATCGAAAAAGCAAAAAAAAAATGTTATTACTATAAATAAATATCGGTAATGATCAAGGGTCTAGTCAAAATTTTGATATATAAAAATAATGTGTAAGAAAAAAAAAAGAAGAAAGAAAGACATTTTTTGAAATTCACAAGTAGATATAATCCCTAAAGTCTCCAATCTTTTTGGAAAATTATTTTTCTTTAATAATACGAAATTTAAAAGCGTATGGAGTGTAACTCAGCTAATTGTTAGCATAGACTCAAACCACTTAGAACTCACTCTTTGTGAGTCAATTCAAAATATATTTATATACTTTCAGTAGTTTTCCATAAAAAAATTATTATATTTAGTAATGATCTCGTTAAAAAAAATACCGAAATAGTTGATATTTGCCTGGTTTTACCGATGTGACCATTAGGGTGGGTCTTTTATAATTTTTCGATTCAGTTAAGCTTTTACGAGATATACATATATCGTCAAAAATCAATGAAAAATAAATAAATAAAAAATGAAAAAAAATAAGAAACTTTGTTTTTAGTGCAGTAAATTTCGTACGAAACTATGACTTTTCGATTTATAAAATTTTTTTCCTTAAGTAATAAGATTTATAGTAAAAAAATTTGCCTTGAAATAATCAAAGTTTAACCGCTAATATATTTGAAATGTTAGGTTTACTAAAAAATTAGTACTGGACTTTTTTGTAGAGCATTCAATTTCCTACAAAATCTATGAAACGAAATATTTTTTCAAGAAGTTCAAAGCGAGATTTGATTTTTTCTATCTGATAATAAGAAAAAAAGAAAACTGTTAGGCGGACGACCTTCCCATTACATTTAAGAGCTCATACTTGGAGAGACTTTCTTAGAGGTGTCTAAGAACTTATTTTTTTAGAGTACTAAGCGAAAAAAAACTTATTTTTTACCCACCTTAGTGATCATATTTTTCTTGTAATAAATTTCTTGCAACGTTTGAAGTTATAACGACTTTTTTCAGTGCATTTGTATGAATTTAGATACTAAGGTGCCCCTGTCAAAGAAGTCGCTAAGCGTCTTTGTCCATACATATGTTTATATTGGGTTTATATGTCTGTTTTTATATAGGTAAGTGCATTAGCATATGTTGTCTATCGGGTAATCGATTAGCATAACTATGGCTTTGTTTTGTTGAATTTCACAAAATATGACAAAAGTCGCAGACTAAAATTAGGGAGAGATGAATAATTAGTTGAAACATATTTATGTATGTAAATATTTTTATATACACGCAAATTTATATATACATATGTATATATTAATATTTACATATACGCACATATCTGTATGACACTGCTGGAGGTCAAAGTGCGTTCTATATTATCTGTAGATTTGCAGCGCTCGAGCACTTACTTATTTATACGTTGCTAACGAATGCACACATACAAAAATATGTAGTTATACATATATAAATATAAATATATTTAAAATTGTTCAACATTAATGAATGTGGAATTATTTTACGTTTAAATTAATTTTTGCAACGAATTTTCGTTGCCATATTTGTTCTTTGTGCAAACATGGCATTATGGGCGTCAGCAACAATCTTTTTTCAATAAAACTGAAGCTGTCAAAAAGTTTTCAAATCATAAATTCCAAACTGAATGGCTATGATCATGTAAAATTTTGCTACTTTTAATGAGCGAAACTCACACTTTGAACAAATTACCTTTAAGCACAGTTGTTGCAAGCGTTTGACAATTTTTTATCAACTCTTTTATTTTATTTTTATTTTACTTTCTATCGCTAGACCTATTTTCAGCCCAATGTTATTTTTAAATCTATAAATTTAAATTACTGTTTACTTAGTTGTAAAGATGATGCATTTTTTTTTCTAAAAATAAAATTGCTAGAATATACATACATATGTAGGTATGTACATAAGTATATTGTGATACTAATTACGGCGTTTAATGTCGATTGATGTGCTTCCTGTCATTAGTAAGTGTTAATTCGCAAGTGTGAAAATATCACGTTAAAAAATAACATGTAAACTATCAAAAAAATAATAAAAAAAAGTTAAAATTATGTGATGGTCTAACAAGTACTAACATCTGACCTAAAGCCTGTCGGCGAAAAAGCGTCCGGTCGGCTGTAGCATGGAAAACAAGATTTGACGTTTGATATTGGAGTCTGTTGATATGAGCCTAAAAGCGTTCTTGCCGATTTCAACAGTAAAAAGGCAGAATTTTCAGATTTTTGAGCTCTACATATGTATCTAAAATTTCCTATAATTAGTCTAATTTAGTCTTCACTAAAATGCAAGCATTAATCTTTAATCATAATATATTGTGCATTTGAGTAATGAAAGCAGTCTGCTATTTCAAAATCAAATATAATAAAAAAAAATAAGTATGAAAGATATGATCACTGACGTGTTCTTAATAATTTATTTAATGAGAGATTCTGTTATTTACATTTATCTACGATAACGTCATCCAGTTCATCTTGCCGGTAAGAAAACATTATAAACATGTGTGTGTTTTGCACAAAGCACGCAAGTTAGTAAGCTATCTACCACTAAACTGAATTTCTCATAAACATTTGCCTTTGTTAACATAAAAAAATATTTAGGGTATGAAATTAAAAACATTTATTTTTGCTACCCCAGTTTTGTTGTTATGATAATATTATATTAAAAAAATAAATAAATTATTTAAAAAATGGTTATATAAACTTTATAAATTAATAACCGAGCTTAAATTTTTTTATAAAAAAAATGTATAAATAAATTTTCAAATTATACCTAGATTGTTTTCAATTTCTTTATTTGTTTTAATTCCAAATAAAATTATAATTAAAAATTTTTACTTTGCAGAATAGGTGTCATACGTTATGCAGGTTATGCTGTTCGAGCACAATCGTTTTTCCAATAACAAATTTGATATCTACAATATAAGAGCAGTTATTTTCAAAAAATCGTTTAAATTTTTATATTATTTTATATATATTATTTTCTTCTAATAATTTTTAATTACAATGCAGTAAAGATTTTTTCCTATACTGTGATAATGCTATCCATATTTTGTTTATTAAAATTTACTTTCCCCTCTTTGCTTTTTAGGTTATTTGTTTTTTTTTATATTTATTTTTATCAAAATATAAAAAAAATTTTTTTTATCTTTTAACCATTTTTCGTTTTTCGAATAGTTTATTTTAATAATTTTCCGTTACATTTAAAATATATCAAGCAATTTCTAATAACGCAAACTTGGCAGCACATGCTCTAATTTTTAAACAGTGGCAAGGCAAGATCAGCTGTGTTTTTGTTTATTGCCGGCATATCGCAAAATATACAAAAATTGTATATTTATATTACAAAGTGCAGCGCTTGCCATCATTTAACTAAGAAATTGTTGAAAACAAGAAAGTCAAAATTAGCGAGGCGAAGGATAATACCACACAGGATGAGGAGAAAACGGCGGAAGAAGTACCAAGCATTGCCAAACCAGCAGAAGATGACTCTGCAAGCTCTGGGGATAGCGAGCTGGACATAACCAGCGAAAGATTTGATCCATTACGCGCGCTATATGCGCCGGAATACCGCATTAGAGAGAAACAGCCGAAAGTCATATATCAAAACCTTGCAGCTTTCGAAAGTGCATTTAAACGTTTTGGCATTATGAATCTGAATAAGCGTAATAATACAGTAGTGAATATAAACTTACAAAAAAAGGATGATAGTGCGATGAGTGTTAAACCTGGTAGCTCAAAAGAGCGCCAGGTCATAGCTGAGGAGGCACAGCAACGCCGTTTCCAGCCGCATCAAATGCCTGTAAAGGGAAGTGGACGTAAGCAGAAGGATACACACAATATTTTAACATATATTGATGGCGTTACCGGGCCAATGCTAACATTAAGAGAGTCCATGAAAGAACAGCGACGTATACGTGTTATGGTGCGACGCGAACATGGTATTCGTGGCACTTTAGAGGGTGCACTAGTCTGTTTTGATAAATTTTGGAATTTATGGCTACGCGATGTGTATGAAGTTTCTCAGCGTCGTAAATTTGGATATAGTGAAAATAAAATGTGTGGGGAACCACAGGATTGTACATGGAGATTAAAGGAGCTTGGTATTGAATTGCCAAAGCAAGAGGTGAAGTGCATTAATAGAAAAAATGTGGAAATCCGAAGACATCTGCAACAGCTATTTGTGCGTGGCGAACAAGTCGCGCTTGTAGTATTACTGCCAACCAACAAAAGTACCGTTCTTCAAATGGAGACGTGATAATTAATTAACCAGATACAAATATGTATAAAAAAAAAACAAGGCTAAGCTATACTCGTTTATAAACTTTATATTTATACAAGTCAAATTAATACAATTTTTACTTTCAAATAAAAATTGTGTTCTTTCCAAGTCTCATAAATACATATATAATTATGATTTTTTTATAACTAAATAATATGTCGGTAGCGTGGTTTATTGCAGTACTTCAGGAATCTTGAAAACTTTTCTCACAACTTCGAAGTTCTTTATATTGTAAATGCGACAGCGCGGTGGCTTCTCACCGCCAAGCGCCAACGTAAACGGATCTTCGGGACTTTGTTTCATACATTGCAGGCGACCCATTTGAAAATCATGGGAGTACACTTCTTTGATAGCACCAGCGTTAAAATCCCACACTTTCAACATACCATCCGTTGATGTTGAAGTCAACAAATTCGCCACACTCTTATTGAAGCACACACCAGAAATTTCTTCTTCATGCCCTTTAATTGACCACAACAGTTGATCGGGTTGTCTCCTGTCAGCATAATGTAGACTGCCGTCATTGGTACCAATAACAAAATGGTTAGTATCCGTTGGATTCCACATCACTTTTTCAACCTCACCGGGTATTTTCCATTTAACATAATCACTGTCTACTGTATCAGCATTTCGGCAATCGAATAAGCGCACTATACCATCGGCACTACCAGCCAGAATACTTTGTGCATCATCTGGATGAAACTCCAAGGATTGGACTTTTTCTTCAAATGCTGTTATTGTAGTGTGCGGTTGTCCTTCGTCTAAATCCCATAATATAACTGTCTGATCTACAGAAGCACTGGCGAGTATATGTTCATAATTACGATTCCACGAAAGATCCAAAACTGCGTCGGTGTGTCCATAGGGATCTTTGTGCTTCTTGCGACTACCTTTTGAACCCAATTTAAATGTAGGCTCCATTGAATCTTGTATATCTAAATCCCAAATGGTGATCACTGGGTCCATACAACCAATAGCGCACATATTGCCAGGTGTGTCACTACCAGGATCATGATTCAACCACTCTATGCATAGTGGAAAGCTAGGAAGTATGAAATCGTGATGTGTATATAAAGATTCTTCCTCTTCATTAAACACCCACACCTCCATGGATGCTGCATCGTCCTGCACATGACCAACTAATATTAAATTGTCAGTGGGTTTTATGATTTCATCTTCTGCTTCGGAATCATTATCTTCATCGGGCAACTGCTCATTGGCATCAACTACAGAAGCAATATCAGCTGTTTTTGAAGCAACTTCTTTGTCATAATTATCGAAACCAAATTCATCGTCCGGATTTCTATTAGAAGCGCCAGCCGCTGCTTCCTCATCTATTTCCATATCGTCCTCGTTGTCAATATCTTCATCATCGTCGTCATCCTCACCATCTTCTGCGAGCGTACTCTTTGTGTCTTCAATGATACGCGCCAGTTCAGACTGCGTAAGCACAATTTTTTCTGGTCGTTCCTTAGCGACACCGCGTGGTACAAAGCAAAGTGCGGGCACAAAATCAATGCTAGCCTCTTGAGGTCCGTCCTCCTCCATTTTTACCAAATATTTAATAACTTTAGCGTAAAATTAAAAAAAAATAAGGAATTGACGATGGAGATAGCGATTAAATGGAAAAGTAAACACGTGGTTGTCAAAATTGTAAATGACAATTGTTGTGAGGGTTTGTGTCTGCGCTTTGAGTTCTCTTCGGAGTGCTTAGTGGTATTCACTACATAGAGCAAATAAGTGAATTTTGTTTTTGTGCACCAAGGTTTTGAGTGATTATTATTAATTTGATAAGACCAAAAAAGTTAAAGAAACTTATATTTTGCTGCATTTGAAGAAGACTTTACGTACGAATCGGGTTGGTATAATTAGGGATTTTGTTTCTTCATCCTTTCTATGAATTTAAAGTAGAATTTTATAAGATCAAAACTGTTGTTTTTGTTGTTGTTGCGGCGGGTGTACGCCTTCTACATTTTATAATTTAATATATTATATAATTTTGTTCTGCAAATCGGTCGGAATTGGACATCATAACACAACATTGCTAGTCATGTGCATGTAGCCAGAAACGTCGAAACCAAACAACATCTTTGACAGGAGAATAATTATATTCATCATATCATATTTTATCATAAACATTGTAAATTTTTTGTTACTCGTATATAATATATTAAAAGAAATAATTACAATTTTGTTAAATGTTAAAAGCTACAAGTTTCCAATTGACTAGTCTGGCAACATCGCCCTTTTGTTATATTTTGATTTGTCTCCTTTCGATTCTCACTCAATACTCTTGCACTCAATTTTGCTTTTATGGCTTCTCTTTAACATATAAATAAAGGGAGCGGCGTTTGCACATTGTTGTTGTTGGTACACACTTAAATGTAACAGCCCCAAGCATCATCCGCATTTGTTGTTCTTACTATTTACAAACCCACGGCTGGCGTTTTTAACTTCTTTGCATTTTTTGTTATTGTATTTATTACTGCTTTGGTTTTACTTTGCATTTGCTCATTTGTATTTGTTATTGTTGGAGCAGCAGCTGCTTTGCTAGCACCAGCAGGCACCAGCACCAGCACCGATGAGTAGTCAAGTTGGCTTTGTAGGAAATCGAGTTAAGTTCGAATGATGCGAGTGATTGGAACGGTTGTGTCAGCGGTTTAGCACGGATTCTCGTCGTCTTATTGCGTCCAGTGAATAGCGTGTTACAGAAGCGTGTGGCTAATTGGAAACGTGAAAAAGTAGTGCCGCAATTTGTGTGTTATTATTAATATGAAATTATTTAAATACGGGAAAAATAATTGCGAAACGGTTGAAGTGCCGAAGGGAGGCTGTGTCGCGTATAACTCAATATAGGGCAGCCAAAAGAAGGAAACAGAACAACAGTGCTTGCCAGGAAGCAAACGTGTTTGTTGTGTTATCTGTGTAAATAATTAAAATTCTTTTGGAATTGCCACTTGTATAGTGTTGAATTATTGTTTTTTTTTGTGTGTGTGTTTGTTTGCGTTACTTGTGTGCGAATTGTATCATCGCCGTGTTTGCTGACATTCGCTCAACGCTCAACATTTCACAGCTGTTTTGCATTTAATAATAATTACAATGTGGTTTGCATTTGAATTGTGCAAGTGAAGTGACTATAAAAATATGAAAATAATTTGAAAGTGTTGCAAAAAAAGCAAATGTATGTATGTGGAAGCATATAGACAACAACAATTACAAACCAATCACGCCAAGCGTATCAGCAACAAATAAATTGATGATGAATAATCACAAAAGCCAAATAAGTTAATAAGAAATAATATATACAATAAATAAATAAAAATAAAAACATACGAAGCGTATACGAATGCGCAGGAGCAACGTAATAGGAAACCGGTTTACTAAGAACAACAGTGCTTAACATTAGCAACAGCAAAGAATATAATAAATTGTAAATAAATAAAATCAAAGATAATACGCTAAGTCGAACGAAGCATCCGAGGCACAGTGACCAATGCGCGTTTGAGGAAGTATAAACGCAAAAGCCGAACGACAAAAGCCAAAAAGGGTAACCAAAACGTCTGCTCTGCAAACTAGTAAATAAAGGTACCTACCAACATACATATGTATGCACATAAGCAGTAAGCTAAAAGCAAAAAGTTCGCATCCGTTGCACTCTATCCACACGGCTCAAACAACTACTCGATAATTCAGTTGTGGCTTACTATAAGTGCTTTTGTTTTATTGGTGTCTTGTGGTGATTATCCCGCTATCTGCTTTGGTTACACATTCGACGTAGCCTCAAGATTTCCGGGTCTTCACTGCGTGTGCCGCTTGCAACTGCGCTGTTATGCCGTGCTGTTCCCCAATATTTTTTCAGTGCTCATTTTGTTAAGATCATTTTGTTGTAGTGGACGCAGCCACCACTATTCATAAACGTTCTCCCGCTGCTGCAACTTATTTTCCTACACTTAATTACGCTTAGCGTTTGTATACTGTGCGAGCGTGTTTCGCGTGTGTGTAGTAACCGGTCAGTTGGAGCCGCAGGGCTAAAAACTATAGCTGCAAAAACAACAACAAAATTAAGCATAATAACAACTACAAGAAGTACTGCAAGCGTTCGGCGAATATAGAATGGCAAGATTTTTGTGTAGAAGGCAGTGACCTCTCTAAAGTGAAGGAGATAAGCGCGATTGAAAATACACACACATACATACGAATACATATCTACACATATATTCAAAATTTTGGCTAGTTTCGTGAAAGACAACTGTGTAATCGGTGAGTTATGCATTCAGTTTTCATTAAGCTCCCAACAATGTTCCACTGATCTCAATCGCTAATGATCGCCCGTACATAAATTAATGGCAACGTGTTGTTTAAATATTGATGAGTTTTGTTTAGGAAATGCTAGTTGGTTTCTTCGATCTTTTCAGCTTCATCTCTAATGGGTTTTTGCTCTATTTACCAAATAGCAATGTGTTGCGAGCACGCAAAGTTTGAGCGGCACAAACATTTAATGCGCAAACCTTAATGTTAATTTTACAAATTTTGACACCAAATATCTTTTTTGCACTCTAATGTAGGATAAAATTCTTTTTTGGAGGGTGAACTAAAGTTGAGCAGAAGGCTCAGTGATGATCTGATTAACTTTGACCCGGACTGACAAAAACAACATTTTCACGTATTTTAATACAATTCTTTATTATCGCCTTTGTGATATAGATAGATATTTGTAAAATGAAAAATGCTTATTTCACACAATAAATTTTTTAATACTACTTTTGGCGACGAAGGTCAATGAACACATCCTGAAGGATATTTAACATATATTTCTAAAATATCTAGCCAATACAAACATGTCAAAGCTTAATCCAATTTTCTATACACTTGTTATAAGCCTCGGTTGGTCTAGACGATAAATGTAAGCTCATCAGCTATGTTATCAAGCATCTCTTTTTTTGCGACGCCGCCTGCACATGACGTCATTTTTGCAAATAATTGAGGTCTTTTGGTACGAGTCTAGCATGGACACGCTTCATACCCACAACAATAACCAAAATGTGTTGAGTCGATCCATTAGAGATGTTGAGATCCTCTGCTATCTCTCTGATACTAACACGACGATTTTAAAGCACTGTTTTCTTAATCTTTTTGATGTTATCGTCCTTAACAGAGGTCGATAGACGACTCACAAGTGTTCTTTTATAGGTTTTACTTATCTATAAAAAAATTTATCGATTCGGTTTGCGCGCGCAGTTTAAATGGATCCGTCCGAGTCAAATTTGATTTTGAATTATTAAATTTTAGAGCGTTTGGAGTCTAAGAGAGGAACCAAAATAATATCTAAATAAGAGCGACAGGCTTAAGTGACCCCGAAAACTGCAGATTCTTAATAAAGATAAAACATAATGAGAGCTTACATATTAAAAGCTTAAAAACTCACAAGCTTGAGAAAAAATTATTTCGAATTAAAAAGACATCACTAAGAATAATATTAACATTAAGATATGTCCGAGATCATTTCTACGCTTAGCAAGGAGAATACATAGACCTAACTGTGACAGATATAGGTGTATGCATTAATTCGTGCGGTTTTTTTTACGAAAATTAAGACTTTATTGTGAAAAAATTGTTATACATTTAATGTTCAAAGTATTGCCCATCGGAAGCTATGATGTTTGCCCATCTTTCGGGCAGTTTGTGGATCCCATTCGAAAAGAATTTCTCCGGCTTGGAGGTCAAGAAAGAATCAATCCAATTTCTGATACCCTGTTCTGAAGAGAAGCGTACTCCGGTGAGGGCATTCTGCATTGATCTGAACAAGTGGTAATCGGAAGGTGCTATGTCTGGGCTATAAGGCGGGTGAGGTAGAACTTCCCACCCACAGTTTTCCAAATAGTTAGAAAAATTATTGATTCGTGTCTGGTCGCATATTCTGGTCGTTTTTCCGCGATGGCCTTTTTCAAACGAATCAATTGTTTTCGGTAGAGGTCCCCATTGATCGTCTGACCCGATTTCAATAGCTCATAATAGAGCACACCCTTGTGGTCCCACCAAATACATAGCATAACCTTAGCAGCATGGATATTCGGCTTTGCCGTGGATGTTGATGGTTGGCCGGGCTTCACATACGATTTCTTGCGGTTTGGGTTATCATAATGAATCCATTTTTCATCGCCAGTGACAATCCGATGCAAAAACGACTTCTTTTGGTGGCGTTGAAGCAACATTTCCGACATGCAGAATCGACGTTCGACGTCTCTTGGTTTTAATTCATAAGGCACCCAATTTCCAAGCTTCTGGATGAATCCTAATGATTTTAATTGTCTGGAAACGGTTGCTTGATCAACTCCTAATACTTTTGCAAGTTCTTCTTGCATCTGGCATGCATCTGCGTCGAGCAATGTCTCCAATTCTTCGTCTTGAAGTTTGTTTGGCTGTCCGGGTCGTTCTCCGTCGTGTAAGTCGAAATTGCCACTTTTAAACCGTGCAAACCACTTTTGGCACGTTCGTTCGGCTAAAGCATGGTCACCATAAACGTCCAGTAAAATACGATGGCTTTCGGCAGCACTTTTCTTCATGTTAAAATAATGAAGAAGAACTCCCCGCAAAAACACTTTATCTGGTACAAATTTCGACATTTTCAAATGAATGAAACAAATTGTTGTTCATGCTCAAACAATTTATATCTACTGAAAACGACGCGAAATGGCAGTACCTTTGAAATGAATATAGCCACAGATGAATACGACGCGAAATAATACTAGTAGAGCCCTCTCTTAGAAAACCGCACGAATTAATGCATACACCATAATTTAGGAATACGACTTTACCTAATCTAAAAATCGACTCTAATTTCAATCCAGACACTAGAAAATACATAAATATATATATGAAAGATATAGTTATTCCTAAAATTACTCAAAAATCGCATTTGCAATTTCAACCCTCTCTGCTGGTGTATCAAAGAAGAATTCTACAAATCATCACTGCAAAGAATAGTGTCCAAGTAGAATGTAACCTCAGCAGACGACAAAAAAATGCCTTTATGCATTGTTTTTTACATTAATTGGTGTGTTTGTAAATATATTTGTGTTTTGTCTGCGATTGCATTGTGCGCAGAAAGAAGTACGGCAATGTACGACTCATTCTATGCATAAGCAGCTGGAGGTCAATACTTTCGATACATTTCAAGCGGGGATGTGAACCTAGTACTCTTAGCACAAGTGTGCAAACATACATATTTACAAATATACATACAAAAATTTTGTGCGGCAAGTGCTTCGCCATGCAGTGTAGTGTTCTTTTGCCAGCCGCAATCGCAGGCGTATGCAAAATGTACTTAAAAGTGCATACAGGTTCATTTCCTGCTCTGCATGCCTTGTATTTAAGAATGCTATCATTTAATACCCTGAATAGGGTATATTAAGTTTGCCACGAAGTTTTTAACACTCAGACGGAAACGTCGAAGACCCTAGAAAGTATATAGACCACATAAACTATATATCATATAAATGATCAGCGTGAAGAGCTGCGGCGGTTTAGCCTTGTCCGTCTGCCTGTTTGCAAATTAGTCCCTCAGTTTTACGAAACCGATCTGAAATTTTGCACACGTTCTTTTCTCCCCAAAAAGTTGCTCATTTGTCGGAATCGCCGACATCGGATCGCTATAGCATATAGCTGCCATACAAACTGAACGATTAAAATTAAATCCTTATATGGAAAACTTTTTTATTTGACAAGATATCTTGACGAAATTTAGCAACGCTGTCTATGGCAACGCTGCAATCTCCGAATATATTATTATTCATATCGGATTACTATAGCCTGCAGTTGCCATATAAACTGACCGATCAAAGTCAAGATAAAGATCCCTTTATACCCTTTTATGCTTTAAGAAATGCACCTGTGAAGGGTATTATGGTTTCGGCGCACGCGAAGTTAACATTTTGTCTTGTTTCTCTTAATATGGTGTGAGTAATACAAGATAGGTTATTTTTTTCCTTTTTGTCGCTTAACATTTTCTTGTGTCTAATTTTTTTCCAATTTTTTCATTTCATTACTTATTTATTTTTACTTTCTTTACTTGTATTTTCTTTTTCTTTTTTAGTGTTTATCATTTTTTTATATGTAGATTTTTTTTCGTTTATCGTATCTAGTTTTGCATAGCGTCTTATGCACATTTTGCACACGCTTAGCGTTAGTTGACTTGCATTTCTTATTTAAAGCACGCTGCTTGGTAGCTTCAACTGCAACTACATACATATATACATACATACATAAATACTTAGTTAGTTACATACTTTGTTTTCATATATTTATTTATTAACTACACTTTTTTTTCTAACTGGTGCGCTTGCAACAGTAACTACTTGTATTGTTGTTGTTGCTGCCTTCTTTCAATCGCTGCTACAATTGTTATTCTTGTTGTTGCTGCCTGCCATACTTGTTTTGTTTACCTTTTCGACTTGCTGGTTGGTACTCTGGTACTTTGCTCGTTTGGTCTGTCATTTAAACCTAAACTGGTTTAGCTGGTTGACACTGCCTCGAGATCGGCTTGAATATACATATGTATATGTGTGTATATGCAATTATGTTAGCATTGACTTATTTTTGTAAGTATGCATGTCAATTTGTGTGTACGTTTTGATATTAAAGCATTTTCTTTGTAAAAACGAGTTTAGTTAGTCTTGCTTTGGTTAAACAATATTTCCTATTTGATTTGCTTTGTTCTAACTCCTTTGGTGTAGGCATGAATTTCAAATGTGGGACCGAAAGCAATTTAGAACATTAAGGAAGATAAAAAATGTTTTTAATTTATGTTGCTTATAAAAACAACAATTCTAAGACAAAGAAATAAATTCAAGAAAAAAATTTTAAATACATTTTTTTATTTATTTATTTTTTTTTAATAAGGAAATATTTGAATTTAATTCAAAAAAAATTTTTTTTTAAAAATTTAATAAGGAAATATTTGAATTTAATTCAAAAAAAATTTTTTTTTAAAAATTTTTTTTACGTTTCCAAATTTTTATAAATGAATATTAAATAAAATTTAAAAATCGATTTAATTTTTTTTTTTGCTTCTAGAAAGTAAACTAAAGTTTGTTAGAAAAACATAAATAAATTTTGTTATAAGTTTTGTATTAAATTTTTAATAAGAAAATATTTAAAATTTACCAAAAAAAAATTAATGAAATAATTAATGAAATAATTTTTTTATCATTCCTAAATTGCACAAAACAAAACTATTATAAAATAATGTTTTTTTTTATTTA